TCCTATTTATACTTTTTTCTACCACTCTATATTTTTTTCTACCACTCTAGACTTTTTATAATGTTCTTAGTTGATAGATCCTACTTAGATAATTACCTTAAATTCTTTTTAGATGGTTCTAAGGTAGATCCCAAGTAAATAACTATCCTAAGCTTTTTTTGGAATGTTCCTCAATGAATCCTATATAATCCACTAACCTAGCCCCAATTCTAAAAACTTTCATAACTTCTTAAACATGGTTCTAATTATCTATTCTTATGTGTCAACAATACAAATATCTTATTCTTATCCTGTTACATACAAACTCTACATATATATAGAAAGAACATTTGAATGTCTTATGAATACAAATGAAAAATTAAAATGAATATTAAGCAAGGTAGAAGCATAAGCATTCATTGCCTTTAATATCAAGTTTGACCAATTTATTCTTATACACAAATATAAATCAACAAAGGAGTGGAAGAATGTTTTGGCTAAGATCCATACATTCTTGAGATTTATTGTTAAGATCTTTTTAATAAAAAATCTTAATAAAATTTAGTATATTGATAGAGAATCCACGAAGAATTTTCTTAGTAAAATCTTTGATCTAAAAAATCAACACATTGAGTCCTATAGTAAAATAAAAAAATACAACATAGCATTTCTTGTGATTCTTGTATTATCAAAATTCTGAGATCTACTTCTTCAATTGATTGCATTGAAAAACACAAAGAAATTATAAAGAAAAAGATTTGTGTATAATTCTTAAAAAAACATGTAAAAATAAGAAAAGACTAATTGTAAAGGATGTAAATTAGATTCTTTGAGCACTTAATACATTCTTATTAGCCACAACCTTATGCAAAATAAGTTGTAAGTTTAATTTAGATGATAATGGAATTAATTAAACTCTTCTTTAAGAGAACTTATTCAAGCAAGCCATACTCAATAATATAGCTTATTTTATGCCTTATGAGATTACAAAAGCCATTACAATTACTAGTTTATGTATCTTAGGTTGTACACTCATTAAAAAGCATCAAATATTAGCAAATGCTTTAATACATACAAAACAAGAGATAAAACAAATAAATCGTGATCAAGGATTAAAGACCAAGGGTGAAAAACATAAGGTATCTACATGTGAATCATATATTATTGATAAAGCTTATAGCAATTTTTTTTACACAAGTATAAGTATGCTAATAGTATTTGGAATTATATTTGCATGATGGATTTGGTAAAAAAATTAGTTGGCAAGAAAGCAAAATCTATATCAACAGAAGGAATGGAGGCTTATTAATGAGAAATGAAGGCAACTACATAAGCTCTACCACCAAGGTATTTTTACATAGGTGAAATTGACTCGACAAATATCATAAGTAGTAATATGACATATTGTACCTCTTGAAAAAATGACAATAATTTCTTTTTTAGAAATTATGATTTTTTAATTCAAACAATGGATATTATTCATGTTGACAAACATATAGAACCAAAATCCTTTGAGCAAGCTATGAGCTCACTTTGTAAAGAGTGGAATCATACTATAAAAGAAGAATTTGATTCTTTAAAAGATCATAGTATATGGAAGTTTTTTATTTTTATGAAATTGCAAGAAATCTATCGATTTGTGAGAGGAAGTTTTCTATCAATGGTTTTATTGAGCATTGTGATATTTTGTAAAGTTTGCTTGAGAATGCACTAGGCACTTGACTTTGAATAGTAAAATAGAAATTGCAACAATAAGATTTTAATAACTCTAATAGAATCCTAAATAAACTCCAATTAAATTTTAACAATATTAATCAAACTTTAATCAAACTTAAAAGAAGTCTTAAAGAATATTAAAATAAAAATCCTAATCTAATCCTAATGTAAGTCTAAATAAATCCTAAAAAAATTCTAGACCAATCCAAATAAAATTTTAATTAAAATCTAAATTCTAAATCCAAATTTGAAATCAAATCCTAAATCAAATCCTAATTAAATTTTAAGTAAATTCTAATCAAATCGAAATAAATCATAATCAATATCTAAATCAAATCTTAACTGCAAAAAAAATCATAAATCAAATTCTAAATAAAATCCTAATAAATCTTAATTCTTAAAAAATCTCTTAATCTATCTTATTACAAATTAAAATTTCAATAATTAATAATCTAATCATTTATTTTAATACAAAATTTGTACATCTTTCAATTAATAAGTTAAAAAAATAAATAAATAAAATAAAATCAATTTGAAGATCTTACTTATCAGATAAATGATATACTCATGAATTTTGCATTTGTAAGAGATTAAGCAAATATTTTGTTACTTATAAGGAACAAAAGCTTTGGTATTATAATATTGATATCAAAAAACAAGTTTGCAACTTATAGATTATAGTACTTCAGATAGAGTAGGTTATATGGAGACATGCCATTTAATAGGTGGTTATGTATTTATATTGGATGGTGCCATTATCTTTTAATCAAGCAAGAAGCAATCATTACTTTTTGTTATATCAATAGAAATAGAGCTTGCAGCATTAGTTGATGCAGCAATAGAAACTTTGTGGCTTTGAAAAATACTTAGGAATTATAATATTTTTTAGCCAAAAAAGGTCTTCATTTATGAGGATAATCTTTACTTAAACAAAGCATGATGTTTATGCACATGACTGCATTAAATTTTATTTTTTCCCAATAGATTCACAATTTATTGTTAAAAAGTAAAAGGCTTAACCAAAAATGCCATTATTTGTTAATTATTAGCAACCGTGATGAGGAATTACTTAACGCAATTAAAGGAGAAGAGTTGGTCTACGTGAGACTAACCTGAAAAATAGAGGGTGGTGGAGCACATGCCATGACATGAACATCACATCCTGACAGATCTACTGCTTATCTTTTCCGGGGCATCATAAGCTATGTTTTATTACATTGATTGTATATTATGAAAACGAATGTGTGGTTTCATGGTTGCATTCTGTGCAAGAGCATCTTCTCCATCAGATCCCCACCCCTTTCACCCACTTCAGGCAGCCATCGCCCGAAGCATTTGCGAATATGCACAGGAACCCACCCAAATGACAATCTCAAGGGCTTCCAAACAAATTCAGCTGAGAGTTTGCAATTGCGGCATCACTCGCTTTGCCTCACTGGCTGAAGCTCCAGCAAGTGCTAAGCGCAGACCCACAACTCCAGCTCCTGCGCGGCTACAAGCAGCACATCGACTCGCGTGCACAACGCATCCCCTAATGCTGAACTCCGCGAGGTATCCAGCGACCTCTCTCACCTGCAAACCTGCAAACCCCGGCACAATTCGCAAAACCCACACGATCTGTAGTGCGAGGTACGTATTTTGCAATCGAGCCTTTCATGTGGCCGGAACGGAGTCTCCCAAGCCCTAAAACCTGGTTGCCAGATGATGCTCCATTTCCTTTCTTCCTGATAAACAATGGGCAAGAATTGTGTCCCCCACCTCACCAGAATAGGAGCTCATAGGTCCTTCAACAGAAATGCCTTGAATGCCGTTCTACTTGAAAAAGAGCCTTAACAAATAGATTTTAAACATCATGGTCTGGATTTTGTTCTTTGACACGTAATGTGAATGAACCAAGTACTCATGTGTGTATTTCTGTGCTAATTTATAATTATTATTATTATTATTATTCTATATACACACACACACATTAATACATGTGTATTAATTAATGGATCCTTGATAAAGAATAAGTAAAATTTGTACAAATTATGTATCAGACTTTGATGAGGATTTATTATATTTGACAATTCAATTCTTATAGATTTAAAGTTTTAACGGATTGCATGAAATTTAGACTGAAACACAAGAACTTGTATTTTGATCCTATACATAATATAAAGTACATGCACATACAAATAAAATAAAATAAAAAATATAGAATCAATTTGGTGTCATTGAGAAATCTTCTTTGTTTTCATTTCAAAAGAAAATTTTGAAATAAAAATTGTAGCCATGAAATATACTTTTAAAAAAGTTACTCTCATATTTCACCACAATGCAATTATTTCAACCTAATTCCTTAACTTAAGTATCATTATAATGGAACAAATTAATCAAGTAAGAGACATTTAACCATATCTATATATATATATATATATATATATATATTAAAATTCACAAAATTCATATCTTGAACCATCATATCATTTCATCAGTTACTTCATATTCCACACAATCTGTTGCTTTCATGAACAATGCTTGCACAGCATTCAATATTTTAATGCCATGATTTTTTCACACATTAAATGTGTTTCGACATTGCTCTTCTCTTTTGAAATCATACCCTTTCCAGTAATGTCAACAAGTTTTGGACAGATTGTCAACTTGTTGAACTTTACATGACCACCATGTCAAATCAAAACAAAACAAGCACACTGGAAGCAAGGAGAGAAAAGCAAAAACACACACCACACACTGAAAGGAATGTGCATAAAAGTGTATGTTTGTGAATATATAAATATATACATATACATACATACATACAGATAGATAGATAGATAGAGGAGAAGGGTACAGGATAGAATTAGGACTTCAAGTAATCTGCAAAGGGGGCCATGTGGGGGGAGGGGAGGGGGCAGGGGGATCGAATCTTTCCCCAGGGTAGATGCTACCCTGATGCTGCCGCCCCCACATACACCCCCTTCTTGCTTCCACCCTTAGGGCCAGAGAAAAAAGACAAAAGAAAAAGAGAAGAAACAGCAGCAGGAAAGAAAAGAGAGAGACACATGCAACTAACACTCACCAAGGGTGAGAGAGAGACAGAGAAAGAGAGAGAGAGAAAGAAAACAGACTCCACGATGACGTGGATCTGACTTGGATTGAAAGTGGCTGGTCCTGTCCTCGTCACCCGGTCAGTGTACAAACGATGTCAGAAATCCACGACGAGTCATCCATCCACAGTATATCATCCATGCAGCCATCCATTCATATGGGACTCCTCGTCGTAGGGTTGGGAACAGGGGGAGAGAGGCAGAGAGGGGAAGGGGGCAGGTGTCGGTAGGATTGCGGGGGATTGCAGAGCCAGCGCCATCGCCATCGCCACAGCCTTCGTTGCCGCATGAGAGAGAGTGTGTCAACAGGGGACAACTGGGGTCGAAGGAGCGTCGAACAGGGAGAAAGGAAGGAAGGGGCCGTGACCAGCGAGGCCACGCCACCGTACTTCACGCCACGGCAGGGCCGCGAGGGAGGGAGGGAGAGAGGGACCAGCGAAGGAGAAGCCAGTTAGAATCTTCTTCTTCTTCATCTTCGTTGTCTTTCCTTCTTTCTTGTGGTACCAGATGAGCCTTCCTTCCGTCTTCTGTCAGCTTCCGTTTATGGCATTTCTTGTTTCCTCACTGCAAGAATTGGAACCGCAGTCGGTTTCGTGACCTGCGGACTTGTGGCGTCCGTCAATGTGGACGATTTTCTCCCTTCGGCGCCTGCCCGCATTGCAAGGTGAGACCCGACAGAGCCTGGATCAATCTGGAGAGTTGGGATCCGAATGTTCTGGGAGCTCGGGATCGATCAGTTTGCGAGCTCTGCCCCCACTCCTTCCCTCCTCCCCCTCCCATAAAAATTCTCGTGTTAGTGCATGTAGTTGATGTTTGGTTCTCTGTTTTTGTTTTTTGTTTTTCTCGTTTCTGTCTAGCTTTTTTGAGTGTCTTGTAACGGGAAAACAAGTTTTTTGACATCAGGCTTTGCAGGGTGAGAAGTAAGAAATTTGTGAGTAAAGGAGATACGTGAGGATACGTATAATTAGGATCCTTTTGTAGGATCAGTCGGCTTGAGATTCGAAGAACATATTCCTCCCAAAGAGTGTTATGTGATTTTAGGTTTTATTCTTTTTTTTGGAGGGGGCTTGTGTTCTGTCGACCGAAAGTTTAGATCTCAGCTGAAGAGTGCACTCTTGCAATGGTGAGCCGGTCATGTTCGGCGTGGTCGTGATTGTGCACGAGAATTGATTGGGGGTCGATTTGTGTGATGTTTTTCCTTCTCAGTGTAGGTCAGTTTTCCCAGCGCAACGTAATTCGAGTTACGATGGATACAGAGACGCTTGATATTTGAAGCGCAATGACAAACCTCTCCTCGTCAAGGGAGTGATCGGACGGTCAGCGCAAGGGTAGCGTTACGTAATATTAGAGTTTGAGCGATTTGGAGGTTCCGGCAAGGAGTGGACATAGCGACAGATGGAGAATGGAGGGGCTTGGTAAAGGAGGAGGAAGAGATGGCAGGAGTGGACAAGAAGGATGCCCACTGGCAATGTCGGCTCTGGTGGCCCAAACACCTCGCCGGGGCGCAGCTTGTCACCTCCATGGCGCTAGTCGGTTGGGTCTCCTTCTCAGATCCCTGCTCTCTAGACCTAGTTATTGCTGCGACCTGCTCTCTACCAACTTCACGACTTTTCCAGGTTTTTCCAACCTCTCTCTAACAATGTATACTGGGAATTGGATATGGTTTACATTCTTGTACGACGATTCCTTGTGATTTGTCAGTTCAGAAGCGATTCAGGATCATAGGCGTGAGACCCCTGGTAGAGAGAAAAGAGAGGCAGTTGGCTCCTTTTACAACCCTAAAGGACTGTATGTCAAAGTGAAGATTGCAATGAGTTTGCAGTGGAGCTGTTGAGTATTATTGCAGTTGTTGCTCAACAAACCTCGTTTAGTTATGGACTTTGTTTAGAGTGTTAGCCACTTGGACCACAAATTTGAAAGAGGGTTGTTTCACCATACTGTAGGAAAGTCATAGGTTTTACTTTTTGTTTTTTTGTTTTTTTTGTTTTTTTGTTTTTCTCGGGGTTGCTTTAATCTGTGTCTCATTCGATTGACTATGTTTTTTTTTTTTTTTTTTTTTTTTTTTTTCATTCTTTTTCTTAAGGCGATTGATTATCTAAGTATTTTGTCCCGTGGGGTTGAGTGGTTGGTTCACTTGCCTTTATACTTTGATTCTCACAATTGATTTCTTAAGCATATTTTAGTTATATTGTGCAGGCTGTAGAAGATATTTTGAATTCCACTGGCAAAAGGTTGCTGGGTCAGATTCCAGGAGCAACACCTCCGTGCATTTTAGGTCAATACCATCCATTATCTACATGGAATAAGGGGCATGCAGAACGTAAAGATAGAGACAAGGGTGCAGTTAATGGAGTTGGTGGCTGTGCTGATTCAAACACCTACGTCAAAGAAAATACAGGGAACACTAGTGGTAATGTGAACGGCTTCAAGCGGTGCCCTGCTGTCTGGGCAACTGCAGTAGCCTGGAAGGTCGAGGGTGGTGGATTTGTGCCAAGATTAGTGTATATTGGTGTTCGGGGTGTACAATATCATGCTGTTACCCATGTGAGTGGCATTTCCTTTGTCGTCTTACACTTAAGCAGATTAGTTCTAGGTTATGGCTATTCATTATATTTACGTGGTTCTCAGTTTTTCTTGCCATGGGTTGGGCCTGCAGAAGATGACGAATAGGAACAAAAACACATGATATGAACAAGTGTCCAGAGATAAATTTGAAAACCAACTAAGATCCCTAATTTTCCATTAGAAGCTGGGACCTCTATTGCTCTATCTCGGATATTGTCTCTATGTCCCCGTAAGAGTGAATTTTCTCTGAAATGTTACTGGGTTCTTTCCTGAAGTCTCAATTTTAAAGTGGTAAAATGACAATTTCAATTGTCTGTTATATCATCAGTTGACTGTTTCTTTGCGTGCTGGGACAAGGAAATCCAAAGTATCGAAGTCAATGTCTTTGTTGTTGTTTTAGCAATCTGAGAACGTTACTTCGTCTTTCATAATTTTACATTGAGAGCATGTTCCGAAGATTATTGTAACAGATCATTTTTGGTGATGACAGATAGTATTTTATGAACAGTCTCAATATGGTAGAGGCCATTTATCTTGTCGGATGTGGTCCTCAGCACATCTTGCAAAGCAAGCTTGTCTGAGGTCGACGATCAAACCCAAATGGGTGATGGATGCCGCAGCTGAGAAACAATCGGCACCTGATATTGTGAGCTCATATACTTTGTCTTTTTAAACATAGCCGAGGTCAAGCATTAAACCAGAATGATTCTGATCCACATCAAGTAGATTGAATGTTGAGTGCATTTTAATTTTCTCAAAAAAAAAATTGCTTTATCATTTGGATTGTTTGTGGACTGTGTAACGACGCCACCATTATATGTGGATTGTATAACTACCTTTTATGTAGCCAACGAGGAAGGTCCTGGTCAATGGTTATTCAATGTAACATAATGCTGCTAATAAGTTCTGAACTTCTGGATGTGTAACGGCTGCATGGTGACATTCCCCTGTATGTTTTAGATTTTTTCATCGAGTGTGTTGGGTGCAGGAAAGGGTGATTGAGCAGCTCAATTGTAGTTCTTTTGTGGAGAAGACACTTGCGCTGTGTTTGGGCACAACTCCTGCAAAGACATCTCTTCTCCAGAAGTAAGTGGGTGTGATGTCAGTTGATGTAGTGCAAGCTTATCACCCATACCTCCGACTTTTACTTCTGTTCCTCGATTTTGAAACGCATTAACTGTTTGGAAACGAAGTTTTCGACAGATTAAGCGCTATTCGGATTATTCCTCTAACTTTCGTGTCCTTTTGCTAGCAGTTGGTGGTGGCGTACTACAGCAGTTTTTGTTGCATCTGTTGCAACCATCCTCTACATTCTTGCGTGGGCATGTTCCACTCTCTTAGATAGTTGGTTGTCTATTGTTCCATGCATTGGATGTGTTCAACAGATGAGCCACACGTGGCATGCTTTACATCTCCGATGTCATCAACTTTTAGCGTGGCCATTCATTCTGCACTGGGGTGGCGTAGGGTACGTCTCATTCTAGAATCAGCTATTTTATTTATTTATTTATTTATGTATTTTACAATGCAATGGTATGAGCATGTAGTGATTAGAACAGGTACTTTAACGTTCTTCCTAATCAATGCTTAAATTCACCTAAAATCTTCCCTATATATTAGTCTACATATGTTCGCGTTATGAATAAACGCTGCTACCATAACGGTAGACAGGAGGATCTCATTTGCTCTTGTGTAAAGTTTTTGATGTGGGTTGCAGGTCTGAGCAAGCAAATGTAGCCATGGCGCACCGTTGTGCTCAAAACAGACACGCAACCTGGACTGCGATAGTGGTGGACATGGTTTTGGGCGCCATAGCGGGTGTTCTGGTTCTCTATCACGAACTGGCAATCGCCAATTTTGTACATAGAATGGTCCGGACGTTGACCGATGACATCATGCGAACTGGCTGCATATGGTTAATGGGAGTCCCTGCAGGTTTCAAATTAAACGAGGAGCTTGCGACAAGGCTTGGAACTCTCGCATTACATGTGATTCAGACCTGGGCAACTGTGGGTGCCCTAGTTAAGCCAGCGCTTCGAATATTTTTACCAATTCTGGCTCTCTTTGGGATCCTTATGGGTCTCACTGTCCCAGTGGCAATGCTAGTGGACACATTACTATTGGGTTCAATACATATTGCTGCTCTTCACCAAGCTACCGCATCCTTGTATGCGAGCCAGCTCCGTGCACTGGCTGCTCTCTGGCGCCTTTTCGGGTAAAGTAATTTTCACAATTCTTACTCTTTTTGGCTTATGATTTTGCCGTTTTTCAGTAGTGGGGGGGGGGGATGTATGTATGTAATTACATTTATATTATTTAACGCTTTTTAATACTGTCAGTTTGCTGTTCTTGTTAGTTTTTTTTATGGAACACTTCTGTTGTGTTTGAGGTTACGTCTGCGGTTTGTTTTCCAATGACCTGAGGCTGTGGTTGATTTATTCTTTATTGCTGCGGTGACTATTTGAAACAGAGCCAAGAAAAGGAATCCATTGAGAGGCAGGCAAGATTCTTATGAGTGCTCGGTGGAGCAGTTGGTTGTGGGGTCGCTTATGTTTGCCCCTCTTCTTTTGCTGCTTCCTACAACCTCTGTTTTTTACACCTTCTTTACCCTCATCTATTCCATCATTTCAATCGTAAGGCTGTGCCTGCAGTACCTGATACTCATCCTTCAATGGTTCCCTTACGTTGAGGTTGCGCTATGGCTTCTTCAGCCTAAAAGGTTTCCTTCTGGTATTTGGTTCAAGTCGCTATATGCTGGTCACCTGCCAAGTAAATCTCTGCCAACAAAATCTGATAGTGAAATCAACGGTTCAAGAGGACTCTGGAGCTTAGCTCACACAAATGGGGGCTCTACAGAACCTACGGACAAGGAAGAGTGGAAAACCACATTAGTGTCATCATTAGGTGTTGAGACTGCCGGCATAGGTAAACGAATTTTCACCTGATCCGTAGTCTATTGTTGAATAAAATAATAACTTTAATTAATTTTGTGTAGATGTTGTAGTTGTGCATCAGCTCTTACATGAAGTTGTTCCTGTTCGGCTTACGTTTAATATATGATCCAGGAGAATTGCTAGCCCCTTTTGCAGCGCAGCTAGGGGGAGTCTGCACTTTAAGATCTGCTGTGGCATTAATGTACAAGTCTGTAAGCGGTGGCAGGTAGCTGAGCCGAATAATTTCACCTGCTGTCATTTTGGTTTACAGCAATATACCAGGTGTCAGTAAGCGATATGTACATTTTTTTTCCAGTGTTCGTTCCATGCTGACCTAATGGGAATTACTATCATGACAAAAGTGACGATCTCTTTGTTTTTGGTAACATAATGTATCTTATTTTGACATCAGTATTGCATTGTTGATTCAGGATACCTTTGGCATTGGAGTTGGAAAAGGGAGCAAAGCTCCCACATACATTAGTAAGTGTGCGTAAATTTTGGAAGTTGTGTTATGAAGCCATTTTTCCATCTGCCCAGGCGTAGTGGAGCTTCCTCTGTGGCATCAACCACCATCCAATACTAGTTTTAATCATTCTTCTAAGCCCTTGATGCGTCACCTCTTACTGCACGCGGCTTGTTTACCGAGGTCTTAAGACCTCGGTATTACCCGAGTAATTTACCTTTCGTTTCGAGTGGATCCATTTATACTAAATCTGCCAAGCATGTTTAAGGCACTACGTTCGTTGTGGTGATCACTTCTTCCAAGTTTTCTCCGCATCGATTCCATTTCCAGAGGTTTTGCATTCAGATCTGCAACAGTCGAAATTAGAAATAGGTGTATTTTATATGGATTTGACTATTGTCATAGATACTTCCTTTTTCTGTTCTTGTTCGGGTTGGATCAATCAAAGAACCCTTTTGACGAGGACTGAACATCACACTAGGATGGTAGAAGCAGCTAGATAGCAACTCTTTGTACGGAAAGGGAGATGAAACAGCTACATCTTATGTCTCCAGAGCAAATTGTTTAGACACAATTTTGCATGATGCAACCTAAATTGTGAGTACAGGAAGTAACCAATGTTGCTTTGAATTTTACTCGGGTAATACCATATTTGGCAAGCAGCTCAAGCTATGTCGATGCGATCTTACTATGTGCTGACAAACTACAAACTGATTCTTTTTACACAACATCCTCGGTTCCAGCTGAACCACATCCCGGTTGACTACTGTCATTCCTTGCGTCACGTTCCAGGTGCGCAGCGCAGCAGTTCCGTTTTACCCCAATCTCATGCACATCATGACTGGGTTGTTAATAAATTGCAGTGTTGGCAATAATGGTCGTGAACACGAGACTCGCGGGCAGTAACTAGTGCGACATGTGCGCGCTCCTCACACTTTGCAGTGCCATGGCAATCCTGTGGTGCAGAGGACTCGACTCATTTTTCCTTACATGTACAACGAGAAGCGCATCTGACCTCTCGATGAATACTCCCATGTTGTAATGTTGCTCTCCACTGGGCACTGATCTATAGAGCGGAATGCTCCAATATTAGAGGGTTCGTCGGATTCCACCGGCACCCAATCGACAGTAAGCTGCATCACGACCTTCGCTGTGGCTGCTTTTTCCCGATTCGCTTCAGATCGGAGCTGCCCCTCCAGCACCGCCGAAGCCCTACAAATCCCACGCGACGGGATGCGAGTCTTCTTGTGACGACGTGGACTATGACCTGGATGAATGTGCTTTTGGTGATGACGTGGTGGAACATCTATAATTTTAAATGAATTATCAACTTTGTTCACATAAACTTAGATCACTAAAAGATTGCATTTCTGTCTTTTATATAATTTCCTTTTTCTTTTCGTCTGTTTTGTTAGTTTTCTCTCTTTATCATTTTTTTTCTTTTCATGTCAAATATATTCTTATATCCATGGTAAGAGTGTGTTTGTGTGTGTGTGTATACATATGTGTATATATATATATATATATATATAGAGTATATATCTACACATCCATTGTTGTGTGGAAGTTGATGGTTATAATGTGGATTATGGGCAATTCAAATATCGAAGCATTTATTTTATTATAAAAATGTAAAATTGCAATGATTTGAGGATATATACTCAGTAGAGATGGTAATTATAAAATTTCTATTATTTTTTGAAATTGTCCTTAGTTGAATCTCTTTGAAGAGTTAGTTTTGGGAAAGGTTTTTTTTATAGCCATCATACTAGATTTTAAATACATCTTTAATACATACAATTTATTGAATAATTTACTTTAAAAATAAATAATATGAAATTTATTTATAAGTACATACAAAATATTAGAATAATAATAGTAGAAGTTATGATTATATATATGCAATAAAAAAATTATTTTAAAATGTACATGATAAAATATAATTTATAATCAATATTATATATTATTAGATTGTTTACATTGAGAACATAATAAATGTATACATTCAAAAGCCTTAAATCAAGACTTATATTTTTGAATGTAGAAAAGTTTATCGAATTGCAGAATTATTTTTAAATTATTTTTTAAATTAAAATTAATAATAATCTATAATTTATAAAAAAATTATTTATAATAACTAAATATAATTATTATAATTTATAAAGGTAGTCATTTAATTTATTAGAAATATAATTTATTTATAATTTAGATTAAATAAGAATAATATATTATCAAAGACATGAATCTTAAAACAACCAAAGAGTCAATATACTCTTTTGTTATTAAAAAATAGTAGAGATTCACTTAAAGATAGTTATAATATTAAAACTAGAATGACTATTATCAAAACTAAGAAGAGTAATGGCTATTGAAATAAAAATAAGAATAAGAAAGGTGGTTGCAAGAATGAAGAAGCCATTACTTTTACCTCTATATATACTTAGTTCTATCTAACTCCTCTAATCTAAGTAATTACTAATATTTGCAACATTACCTCGTCTTTTCAAGATAAGCTCTACAAAGAATAGTGATCACTTATTGAAGAAGTTTAAGATAAAAAAGATTATATTTGCTTCGTATTCTAATCTTTGTTCTTGTTGAAGATAATTGATAAGTCCTTTCAACCATCAATAATGTAATAAAGTAGGTTAAATAGAAGAATGCACTATGATATTATAGGAAATTCTACCAACAACAAATGATTTGTCTAATTATCTTGATGATAATTATTAATATATCTCAAATGTTGCTCGAAAAACTTAATTCGTCTATTTAATTTATTTATTAGTCTAAGAATAGAAGGCCAAAGATATTATTGTTCACCTTCAATATATTGAAAATAATTCTTCAAATCCATGGTACAAATTGATTTCATCTATCCAATATAATATCTCTTGGTATTCCATAATGGCTATAGATATTATAAAGAAATAATTTAGTTGTTTCTTCATTTATAATAGTATTTGTATATGGTACAAAAAAGCATCTTTTTAGTAAAGCAATCTGATATCACACATATAAAATCACAAGAGCTTAAAATTGAAAGATTTGTTATAAAATTTATAAAAACATAAGATCATAGTTATTTTAATATAGATAATCATAAGAGATGTCTTTAAGATCAATAATAAGGAATTTTTAAACTTAAACAAAGATCACTTCATTATACAAAGTCTTTAATTTCTTTCTATATGTGAGTCTATCAAAAATCTCTTCAAATTAACTTCTAGGTTTTATTATATCCATAATGTTTTATAGCTAGAAAATTGTAAAGAGCTTGAAGAGAATATAATTTTGCTTTATTTTTTAGAACATATAAGTGTTGTTTAAACTAAATAAGATTGTTTATGAATTCAAACCAAGAAATATTATAAAAATTTAGAAATATTTTTGAGATCATGTATAAGAGGATCTAAGGTCATAATTGATTGAACTTAATCAAGAAAGATTGAATCAATAATTAATGTTGATTTCATTCTTTAAAGATAAAATAAAATTGGTATAAAAGAATTATTTTATATTAATCAAAAGTTACACTTTCTTCTTTTGGTGCAAGATAAGAACATCTAGAAAAGATATTTGATAAATTATATTATTTTTATAGAAAAAAAATAATATTAAATATAAATATTGATAAAAACATGCTTCAACAAGCTTTGAAAAAATTTAAAATATATATTGGATAAAATACTTGAGGTTCTTGTGATTTGTCAAAGCAATCATTTGATCAGAAGTGCTTTCTAAATAAGAGTACCATCCTTGAAATAAATCCATAATTACAAAAAAATATTTGTTTTGGATCTTGTAATTAATCTTTTTTACTAAAAATAATTTGTAAGAAAATTTTCATATTGAAATTTGTCATCTTCTTCCATTTATGACTTTGTTTTGGATCTAATTTATTTTTTTCTATAAAAAATCTTTGGATTAATCAACAAAATAGAGAATTGAGATTGTTGTAAAAATTATCTTTAAAGCTTAAAATTTTATTTTAGCTTCTTTATTCCACTTACGTTTGCCTTTATAAGTCAAATGTGTGAGTAGAGTTGCAACTTTAGAAAATTTCTTGATGAAAATCATATAGTAGTTGGTAATTTTTTTAAAAACATTAATGTCTTTTAATGTTATTAAAACCTTACAATCTTTGATAGTCTGAATTTTTTAAAAATCTATTATGAGACCATCATTTTGAATGATGTATTATAAAAAATCAACTTGAATTGTGTAAAATATATAGTTTTCTATCTTAGTATATAGTCCTATATATCTAAGTTTTTATAATATTTAATAATTTTCAAATTTATATTTTTTAATATTTAGAATAGATTAAAATATTACTTAAATAAAAAATAAAAATCATCTATTTTTTTTCAAAAAATATCATTTATTAGATGTTGAAAAAAATTTAAGTCCAAAAGGCATGGCATTATATTCAAAATGTCCATACTTGATTCAAAATATTATTTTTTATTTTTTATTTTTTAATGTGTATTAGATTATATATTATATATAAATCTAGTCTTGCATAGATCTTTGTTTGATATAATCTATCAAAAAGTCCTGATATCAAAGATTGATGGTACCTATTTTTAATAATAATCTTTCAGAATCCTCAATAATCCATTCATATTTATAGTAATCTATCTTTTTTCTTTACAAATAAAATAGGTATTCTTGATAAATTTTTTGAATAGCATATGAAATTCTTGGCAAAATTTTCATTGATATATTCTTTGAGTGAATCCAACTTAATTTATGATAAGTCGTAGATTGGTCCAAATGATGGTTGAATTCCTTTTTGAAGATTAATTGAGCAATTATAAAGACAATATTTTGGATTGATATTAATATTTTTTTTGAAAAAATGTTTTTATAATTCTTATATTAGCTTGGAATGTTGCTTGAAGTTTAATTAACATAGAAAATAAGTATGGTATAAATAATAAAAGATGATATTTTTTTTGCCACATACATGAAAGCTCTTATATCAATAAATAAGATTTTGGTTATATTAGACTTATAATTTTTTAGTTGGTTAGCAAAAATCTTGATTATGCTATAAAATAGAATTGAAATTATAAGAAATCTAATCTATTTAAAGATTATATCTTTTTAACTATAATAAATCTAAAATAATTAAATTAAAAGAAGATCTTATAATATTAGATATTTCAAAAAATATTTAAAATTTTTGTGGCTACATCTATTAGAATAGTTTTATGCATAATATATGCAAAGGAAAAAAGACCACTATCTATAATTTTTACATGTATGGGCTTAATTTTCTTTAATTAAGATGTTTTATGTTTTTTAACAAAATTTTTCTTTAAAAAAAAAGTTGGGGCTCATGAATCTAATAAAGTGAAGGCTTTATAATTTTTAGGTCCTAAATAAATATCTATTATTAAAAAAATATGATAATTATAAACAAAGAATATGACCTTTATTAGATATTGTATAAGATTCAAGTTATCCATTTCTTATTATAACTGAAAAGTCTTATATTTTAATATATTATCTTTTTTGAAAGCCATGCTCTTTATTTTGTAGTTACATTGCTACTTCATACAATGTTGAATAATATGCTTAGATTTGCCATAACAAAAGTAAAATCCTTCTTGACAATGTCATTTTTTTTTGTTCAATGAGGGATTTATATCATATTGTATATA